GGTTCTGGATACCCAAAAAAAAAAAAAAAAAGTGCGGGGTGCCGATGATCCCCGACTGCTAGGTGCCGACCAGCCGATCGGTCGGCGGGTCGGCAGCCGACCAATCAAGGGCCGCCGACCGTCGGGGTGTGCAACACTGGTTACAAGTGTAAACCAACCGGGGCACGAGTTTGGCCAGAAACTCCTTGTGCTGCACCTCCGGTGTCGCGTCTTCGTGCTGCTCAGATGGTTCAAAATGCCAGAAGTTGAGCTTTTCGATGCTGGTGGCTTCATGCCGCTGTAGCAGATCCTGGGCCTCCTTGCGGCATACCTGGGTATCTGCTTCTGCTTCGGCTTGAAGCCGCTGCTTTTCAGCTGTTGCCGCCGCTTCAGCTTGTAGGCAGGCAGCCTCGGCTGCCGCCTGACGCTGTTCCTCAGCCTCGATCAGTGCGAGGTGAGCTTCGAGACGCTGTCGGTACTCGGCAATGGACTCATTGGCCAGTTGGCCTGGCATGCCCAGAACTGAGCCCGTCATGGTGGCGGGGCACTGCTGACGTGGCACTGTTGCTGACGTGGCACTCTACCAAACCGGGAATGCAGGCAAAGGGGTGGGTGGGAGGGAAAATGCAGCTAGGTAACCAACCCAGCTATACTTTCCTCCCGGTCCTAATCAATAGACTAAAATAAATAAAAAATAAAAGAAGAGGATCACCCCCTAGGTTTCCTACCCCGGGCGCCCGGGGCACCCGGGCTCGACCGGAATGCCGCTCGGGGCGCTCGGCCGTGCAACCCCCCGGACAGGCCCCCGGACCCCATCAGCGCCGCACCGAAAACGGCGGCAAAAAAAAATTTTCACACCGCCGCCCGTCGGCCAACAGGGCCAAATTTTTTTTGCCGCCGTCGCTTCAATTTTTCGGGGCCCGGTATGCCCCTTTTCGAAGTTTTTTTTTTTTGCTCGTTTTTGGCCGTCGATCGCCAGCGATCGACGGCGCGCGCACCTTCCAGGATTCAAATTCGAATCCTTTTGAATCCTGGCCGATCTCACCCGCCCGGTGCCCGCTAGCCCTCCGCCCGCTAGCCCTCCGCCCGCTGCACTCCGCCCGTCGTCGTCCTGCTGCCGCCGAGCTCGACGTTGTTCCACGCCATCGCCTCCTCCTGTTGCCGCGCCGTCGTCCTGCTTCCCGCCGACTCCCTCGAGTGCTGCACCGCGCCATCTACAGGAAGGTAAGCTTTGTGTTCATCGTCTTCTTTTCTTTTTCTTCGTTTCTTCTTCTTCTTCTTCGTTTCTTCGTTTCTTCTTCTTCCTCTTCTTCTTTTTCATTTCTTCTTCTTCTTTTTCTTTTTCTTCTTCTTCTTCTTCTTCTTCTTCTTCTTTTTTTCTGCTTCTTTTTCGTTTCTTTTTCGTTTCTTCCTCCTCCTCTTCTTCTTCTTCTTCTTCTTCTTCTTCTCGTTTGTTTCTTCTCCGTGCTTTTCTTCTTCGTTTCTTCTTTTTTGTTTTTTCTTCTACTTCTTCGCGTTTTCTACTTCCTTTTCATCTTCTTCTTTGTTTCTTCTCCTTCGTGTTTTTCGTTTTCGTTTCTTCTCCTTCGTCTTTATCTTTTTCGATTTTTCTTCTTCTTCTTCTTTTCGTTTCTTCTTCTTTTTCTTCGTCAACTTCTTCTTCTTCTTCTTCTATTCGTTTCTTCTTCTTCTTCTTCTATTTGTTTCTTCTTCTCTTCTCCAACTTCTTTTTCTTCTTCTTCTTTTCTGCTTCTTTAAAGTCTTTTTTGTTTCTTTTTCTTTTTCGTTTCTTCTTCCTCCTCCTCCTCCTCTTCTTCTTCTTCTTCTTCTTCTTCTTTGTTTCTTCTCCGTGTTTTTCATCTTCGTTTCTTCTTTTCTACTTCTTCGCGTTTTCTACTTCCTTTTCTTCTTCTTTTTTGTTTCTTCTCCTTCGTGTTTTTCGTTTTCGTTTCTTCTTCGTTTCTTCTCCTTCGTCTTTTTCTTTTTCGATTCTTCGTCTTCTTCTTTTCGTTTCTTCTTCTTCTTCTTCTTCTTTTCTTCGTCAACTTCTTCTTCTTCTTCTTCTTCTTCTTCTTCTTCTTCTTCTTCTTCTTTTCGTTTCTTCTTCTTCTTTTCGTTTCTTCTTCTTCTTCTCCAACTTCTTCTTCTTCTTCTTCTTCTACAACATACCGATAGGGTCACCATCGCCTCCCTCCTCCTCCCCTCTCCGTGACACCCTCCCTCCTCACCACGTCGACGTCATCGGCCGCAATAGCCCCCCTCCTCTCTCATAGTGGCCCTCCCACCGCCCTCTCCATCGCCTCCCTCCTCCTCCTCCCTCCTCCCTCTCCCCTTGCCATTGCGTCCCTCCTCCAGGCTCCTCCCTCCTGCCTCCTCCCTCCCCTCTCGCCATAGGCTCCCTCCCTCCTCCGCCGCCATACCTTTCCTCCTCCCTCCTCCCTCCTCCCTCCTCTCTCCTCCCTCCTACCTCCTCCCTCGTCCCTCCGCCCTCCTACCTCCTTTCTTCGACTTCGTTTTCTTCTTTGGTAGTTCTGGCGCGAGATAGGGACGATCGCACCCCCTCCCCCAACTTCCCCCCTCCTCCCTCCTTTTTCATAGCGCACCCCC